AAGAAATGTATTTAGGAACCAAAACCAGCCGATAGACGAACGCTTAGCTAGCTAGTGATCGTGCACGTTACACGACGGGGTACCAAATGGCGGGGATGCTTGACCGGAAGCCTTCAGCTAAACAAGTCGACTTAAACAGTGGTGGTCAGCATCCAATGAGTGATTGCTGTGGTCAATAATTTTGGGGAATTATTTACCGCTACAGCTCACTCCCCCCTAGTGGGGTCGTGAGGACCCTAAGACAGAACCAGCCGGAAGTAAAAAAACTCGATGGTTCCCTTTCGGGTGAAAAAAATCTTCCGAGCGGCTTGGTCTTATGCCTACTGGTTTGTCTGCCTATGCTAATGGGGTGTTTGTACATAGCTTCCTGGTGTTGTTCGTTGGATTCCGTGCTTCGTTTGTTTCCCGTCCAGTGCCCGTCGCACCTGGAAAAGAAAACAAGAACGCTAAGAACCATGTCGAGGAAAATGTACGAAATGAGCTTTTTGGTTAAAAAAAATTATGTGCATTTACTATACAGTAAAATAATGCTAAGTTCAGAACATCGAAAAAAAATACATATAATTAATTTTTTTGTGTATGTTACATGAACTGTTGAAAAAAAAATTTTTGTGTTTGGTGGTACTGTATATAAAAAAATTTATACGTCAAAAAAAATAGTTAGTACCACGAACGAGTGAGTTGCGTGAATCACACGACTTCGTTAAGTCAAATAAGTGTGCAAATGTTCTGGGAACCTTACGGTGCGTCCAGAACGGTTTTTCTTAGGAGGCTCAACCTTAGTAGCCAGTGGGCGAATGCCCTTGCAGTCAATAGTGTGACCCAGGAAGTCGAGTGAGTCAACACCGATTTGACACTTTTGAATATTGATGGTAACACCATGTTGGCGTAACCTGTCAAATGCCAAGTCCAAGTGCCTAAGGTGAGTTTCCTTGTCTGGACTGGCAATGAGGCAGTCGTCTAAGTATGCGTATACAAAGTCGAGACCGCGAAATACTTCGTCAATGAAGCGTTGGAATGTTTGGGCTGCATTCCGAAGACCGAATGGCATACGTAGAAATTCAAAAAGTCCGAAAGGCGTAATGATAGCCGTTTTCGGGATATCTTCTGTTGCCATCGGGATTTGGTTATACGCTTTAACCAAGTCGATTTTGGAGAATATAGTCGCGCCGGATAAGGTTGCCGTCAAGTCGTGTATATGAGGCAACGGGTAGCAATCAGGGGTTGTTTTGGCATTCACTCGCCGGTAATCACCGGTGGGTCGCCAATCGTTGCTATCCTTTTTCGGAACCATATGAAGTGGGGATGCCCATGGGCTATTCGAAGGTCGAATGATGCCAAGGCTAAGCATATGGTCAAATTCATTCCTGGCGATTCTCAGTTTGTCAGGAGCTAATCGTCGTGCTTTAGATGTCACAGGTTGTCCTGTGGTAATGATGTGGTGCATAACATTGCTGGTTATGCACGGTAGGTCGTTCGACGGGCAATTAAGTTCCGGATACTTGTCAACAATAGGTTGAAAAGTTGGATCAAGGATTGCCTTTATCTTAACGGGTGACAAACTAGGGCCTATGTAGCTGATGCCTTTGATAGACAGACTAGTAGTATTGTCAATCAGTCGTTTTCGGCGGACGTCTACGAGTAAATCATGATGATTAAGTAGGTCCGTGCCAATGATGGGCATTGTAACGTCAGCGAGAAGGAAAATCCACCGAATAGGTTTGCGTAAACCTACGTTCAGATAGACGTATTTCCTACCAAAGGTTGCGATTGGTTTTCCATTTGCAGCCTGTAAGTTGAAGGTAGGTTCCTTCTGTCGATCTGCTGCTGTAGCAGGAAGGACGCTGACTTCGGCGCCTGTGTCGACTAAGTATCGAGTCTGGCTTATCACATCATGGATGTAAAGTAGGCGGCTAGTGCCACCGGCGACGGTTGCCGCTAACGCGTGCCGGCGGGATAGTTTCCCGCAGACTTTGAGACATTTCCGAAGTTACAAGGCTTACGGCAACACTTCGCTTCTTGGCCATAGGTGTTGTGGTACCAGCACCAGTCAGGGTTTTTCAGTGAACGTGGTTTGGACTTAGATCGACCACGCGAGTTCCTGCGTTGAGGAGATTTAGGACGACGGTCGGAGGATTTAGAATGCATGTTTGACCTAAACATCTGCTGAAGGGAGTTGCATAACTCTGTCATTGCAGGATCCTCACTCGAAGTCTGCTTAGTCATTGAGCATATTTCGGGACAGACCGTTTAGTTATTTCTAGGATCTTATCTGCAGTAATAGCTAAGTTCTCTATTACAGTACCCTCAAGTGTCACAAGTACGGTCTGTACAGATTGTGGCAACTTGGTTAAGAAGAGTTCTCTAAACAGTCCTTCGTCGAACTGACATTGGCCGACGACTTGTTTCATTCTTGTCAGCATGCTCACGGCTGACTGATCTCCTAACTCGATGTTGCGAAATAATTCATCTAGACGTTGTCTGTCCGTGAGAGCGTTTCTCCTGAGGAGGGATGCTTTCAGCAACTCGTACGAGTTACTTACCTCGGGACTCAACATCTGTGATGTTACGTACTTGCTGAATTCCCGCGGTAGGGCGTGAATAACTGCAAGTAACTGTGAACGTTGATCAGTTATCCCATGCTCACAAAAATCTGCTTCAGCTAGCAGAAACCACGTTTCAGCATTATCTGGCCAGTATGGTACGAGCTGAATGGTTTTAGGAGTTGAGCGGATACGGATGACCTTGGGACTAAGATCACTTTTTTTTTTTTTTTTTTTTTTTTTTTTTTTTTTTTTTTTTTTTTTTTTTTTTTTTTTTTTTTTTTTTTTTTTTTTTTTTTTTTTTTTTTTTTTTTTTTTTGTCGGGCTCACCAGTTTAAAGGTTGACGGATATTAAAGGTTTGACGTGATATCTCGTTCAACAACTTCTAATTAATTTATTCTCGCGTACCAAAGACAAAGCAAAAGCCAATAATTGGTCGTCCAAACGAAGAAATGTATTTAGGAACCAAAACCCGCCGATAGACGAACGCTTAGCTAGCTAGTGATCGTGCACGTTACACGACGGGGTACCAAATGGCGGGGATGCTTGACCGGAAGCCTTCAGCTAAACAAGTCGACTTAAACAGTGGTGGTCAGCATCCAATGAGTGGTTGCTGTGGTCAATAATTTTGGGGAATTATTTACCGCTACAACCTCATCCAACAGTTATACGACAATGCTGCATGCCAAGTAATCCACAACGGGAAACTTACGGAAGCCTTCGAAGTGAGGACGGGAGTGATGCAAGGCTGTCTACTATCACCAATGATCTTCCTGATTGCAATTGATTGGATAATGCGACAGACAACGGCAACCAACGAGGGAACAGGCATAAAATGGACTCACACAAAAGACTTGGAGGATCTGGACTTCGCCCGCGATGATATATGTCTGATTTCCCACAAACTGGAAGATATGCAAGTGAAAAGTAACAAGTTGGCAGAAGAAGCATCCAGGGATGACAGGACTTCAGGTGAACATAGAGAAAACAGAGGTGATGAAGATTTCAGGCTAACAGCAATAGCAGCAACAACAGACAACAACCAGTCAGCATAAATGGGAGGAACCTGAAAGAAACAACCTCCTTCACCTACCTGGGAAGTATCGTTTCAACTACAGGTGGACAGAACTGAAGAGGATATCAAAGCGAGGATCGGGAAAGCAAGCCGAGCTTTTATTTCTCTCAAGTCTGTGTGGAGGTCAACAGCACTCAACATGAAGATGAAAATAAGATCCGGATTTTCAACTCCAATGTTAAGTCACTGCTACTATACGGACCAGAGACTTGGCGAGTCATAAAGAGCATCTCCAACAAACTTTAGACCTTCATTAACAGTTGTCTTCGCTCAATACCACTCAAGATCAGATGGCCAGAAAAGATCACCAACAGGGATCTCTGGGAGCCAACTAACCCAGCAGGAAGCGATTGTGAAACAAATAGTCAGGAAGAAATGCAGATGGATTGGCCATACTCTGGGGAAACCATCAAGTGACATCACTAGACAAGCCCTCTAGTGGAACCCGAAAGGGAGGCGGCGAGTTTGTCGTCCAAGGGTGACTTGGAGGAGGTCATGCGAGGAGGAGATGAAAGCATGTGGACAGACCTGGAGCGGGGTGAAAAAGTTGTCAGAAAACCGAAGGCAATGGAGGTGCGCAGCTGAAGCCCTATGTTCCTCTAGGAACTAAAGGATACAATAATAATACAATAATAATATTACTTCTGACAGTTTTGGCCTGACTTCTTTCTGAACATCGACCGATGAGACGATGACTGGTGTATTGATGCCTGTGCGAAAATTGGGGAAGTTGGTTTTGAGCAAACAACCATCAATTGATCGTTCAATCTTCAACTACATTGACAGAGAGATAAAAGGCAAATATGACATGCTCACGCCAGAAGATCACAATAAATTGTTAGATAAGTCCAAAGAATGGATGCTCCCAATTGACGTAGTGGGGCGTGCAACCACGAGAGGTGGACACACAATTGTAAGCTAATGCTAACTAGATAGAATAATGCTCACATGATTTCATATTCATGCATCTGGGTGACATAATACATCACGACCCGAAAACTACAGCACATTGTTGCGCAGTGGCAGCTCAAAGTTTCTTGTCTTGGTGGAAAATAAGCATAGCGTTTGCCAGAATCACGAGAGTCGTGCTCTTTGTTGAGATTAAGACCAGAAAACTCCATTTGAACAACCAGTCTTTGTCTTAGACGGGGTTCACGCATTCTAAAAAGGGTTCAGTGCCAAGGAAGAATCATATCACTGTGGGTCCTTGTTCTCACACCATATCATAAACTTCTGTAACCGACTCTCGTATGAAGTGGTATCGGTGCCCTCAGCTGGTCCATTCAAAATGGGCCTAGAAAAACAAAGAAACCCACTAGAAAAGGATTAAAACGGGATCCACGTTTTCTATTCTTAATGAATAACTCTGCATTTGAATTAATGTAAGTGGTGTGACCTTGAAGGCTGTATCACACTCAAAAATGACCTCTACGGTTAGAGGGAAACCGAAATCGGGCCGCACGTGGAAGGATGTTCGGACTGCGAAGTAAGTGTTCGTGGTAAATTTCCATTAGCTGCTTAAAAACTGTTCGATGCTCCTGGTATGCTAATATGGTATATTCATTAATGGAGTGTATTTAGATGCACATATTCCTGGTTAACAAGTCAACCTGATTTTTTCCTTGTTTTGCAATGGTCATATATGACCATTTTTCTTATAAGAAAATTAATGCTTGTTACTTAGCTCCGAAAAATCTTACCACTCATAAGCCAATCGAAATACATAAGCTTCGAATGACTGGCTTTTTAAGGTTTAAGATTGCATAACTACTGTTACTTTTTTTATTATAACATTACCGTACCCAATTAGTCGCTTACAATCTGTCGGGCAACATGATTTGTAGTAATAAGATAAGCATAAAGTGCTAGGTAAGGAGGGATGGTTAGTCCATGAGGTTGAGAAGCTTCATCAGATAGAGTATAGTATGCGATCTTTCGAGGAACGATTTCAGCGACCATCAGAATCACTCAATCTGACAAAACGGGGGAAGACATTGAATTGAAGTAAAACAACGGGCATGACCAGTAGCAGTATATTGAGTGAATATTGTCTTTTTGATATATTCTATCCTAATTTTACCCCTTTGCTTCCATTATTACCTCTTCAATTTACTATAGTTAATGGTTATCACATGACTACTTTTCTGTTTCCATCTTGTTCCTATTTTGAACCACATTCTCCTCAATTTCGGATTTATTGAGCCATTATTTCGCCATTCTCAATCACTATTGCTTCCCTCTGGAAATACGTACACCATTTATACAACTATTAACTCTTCATTTTAAACAGTTCTGCAATCCATAACACATTAATAATACACAGACAGAAGTTAATGATTAGATGAATAAGTATATATTCCAATAAATTTGTACGCTTCATTCATCGAACAATATCCTATTGAGGTTAATTTCACCCTTCTCTAAAGTTTTGAGGTCATATGGTTACGTGCGAGTGCAATAAGTAACATTTTACGGAGCAATTACGTAGTAGTAGTCGGAGTGGGGTTGAAAACACTGATTTCTATATTACAATGATTTACATTGATATTCTCTTGAAAGTAAATTCATCACTTGACTAATGATGTAAGTACTAAAGAGATGAAATATTACCGCCAAGCGCAAAACTAATAAAAATTTGATGCCTTGTCTAGTTGACTATACTGCATGATAAGGAATTTATTTACCAAGAAACTAGAAATACATTTCAAAAACATCATGTTATCACTCATGATAAAAACAGTATTTTGTGAATGATGCTTGGGGAGGCTTCGTATGTGTGTGGGCGGTTGTTATTTCCCGGCTGCCCACACCATGGAAGTTGATTGATTCTTCGGGCACCTGAAACAGAAAGAGGGTTAGTGTTGCGTGACCGCAGAGCCTAGGGGAAAACTTTTTGAGGCCGGTCACAGACGGCCTGTATGAACTGGTTTCTTAGTTTAGTTTCGTATAAGTAAACTTACCGCCGGTTACGTACCACCGTAGGGTAAGTCGCGATGTGCACTTGTTGGGGTCGACCTTTTTTGACCCCCTCTCCCCGGAGTAGAGAGACAGAATAGCTGGCTGGCATGCTGGTCATCTAAGGGAAACACCTCACTGCTGTTACATCCCTGTTCCCCAGCAGTATGACTTCGCCCACAGACCCCCAGCGTAGTGTAAAAAATCTTACACTGAGCCGGTAACTTCTTTTAGTTCAATCGCTATCCCAACAACCTTCCTGGCATGGTGGGACCTGCAGGAACAATAATTCCAGTCAGTGTGGCTTGGGTCATTGCGATCTGTCTGTCTGTTTTCGACATAGAACTTTGCCCATATGTGCACCAGTTCAAGTCGCCACACTCCGTGTAGCACGCGAAGCAAGAGAAGAAAGTACAAGAAAAGCATAATAGAAACAGTGAGCAGAGATGTGAGACAAAGGAGTAATAAAGAAAAACAAAACAGTTTCATTGGAGATCATAAGTCACAAGGAGTGGATGCATCTGCGCCACCGTGAACGATTTTGAGCCATGTCACCAATTGTTTCCAACCATAGATTTTTACCGTCCCGAGGACCCCAGCCTGCGATATGCACGCCCGACCACCACGTCCAGGTAGCAGCTATCGGTAGGGCATTTTGTAACCGTCATTTTCATCATTAAAGCCGTATCGTGCGGTATTATAAGTGCCATCTTTATTTCAATATATATTATTATTACTATCAGTAACACCATCTGATAATGTCAACCGTCGTGCACATGTAATTTTTCTTAAATATTGTCACTAAGCTATTATTTCACTATTATCATTTCAGGAAACTCCTGTAGATCTATTGGTCGAAAGAGAGGCAATTGTGAGCGGTCACAAAATTCATTTACTTCTCTTTCGACAAACAGATCTACAGAAGTTTCCTGAAATTATAATAGTGAAATAACAGCTTAGCGACAATATTTAAAAAATATATTGAAATAAAGATGGCACTAATAATGCCATACGATATGGCTTTAATGGTGAAAATGACAATAATGGGTACGACTGGTTGTTGTCACTTCAGAAAGTGTCCCTCCGGTAACTCTTATAAAGTCATGTGATAACGTGTTGACTCCAATAGTACAGCATACTTAGCAGTTTCACAGGTAGACTTTGCGTCGCCATATTTCGATTGACAGAGTGAAATGTCTCACGCTGAAAAATACAGGAGCGCTGAATTACTGTGTATTATTGTATTAGAGAACCTATCAAAAGGTTGGGAACATGATAAATGAACTCATTATGAATCTGGAGCCCCCTTAGGTTCCAAGAGCTTCTCTTCCTCAGCTCACTTTGTAGGACTATAGGAGCTAAAGCTGTTGATGCCTTGTTAGCCTAGATATGCGGTTTTCACATACCAGATGTTAAAATAAGAAATGTATTTAGCTTATTCGTGCATATAAACTTTGTAGTAGTGGGAACAAAATTTCCATTCTCTATGACTTAGTCAGCTTACATTTGATCTACTTACACTTGTCATGTGTGACTAGTCTTTCTAGTGTGCTTATTTGGGAGGAAATCCGGTAGCTTATAACTGGCTTTTGACTACAGGATGAATATTGTTTTCACACTTTTGTTATGTATCAAGACATTACCCTTCTTAATGTAGTCTTTATTCTCAGCGAAGTCCTAGACGCTTTAATACTTTACTCATTCTAAAAGTGATGAACGCTCCTTAAATGTTTGTGATAAGTATGCTAGTTTGCGTTTCATAATCTTGTTCCACAATTATTGTACTTCTTTCCCATAGGTTGTATTTTGTTGTTTTTGTGTGGCGCATATTTTGGTACACATTATTCCAAGTTTGTTTTCAATTAATCGGTGATAATAATCACAAGTTGGGCACACAATAGCAACCTCAGTAGTTGTCAAATTTTACTGATTATTATATTGTTATTCGTTTCCTGAGCTTCTAGTGGAACATACGGCCTCAGCGGTGCATTTCCGTTGCCCTCTGCCATCTGCCACCACTTCCACCTGGCTCAACGACTACCTTTGAGCTGTCATTCCCTCCTCACATGGCCTCCGTTTAACTCTCGGACGCTTGTAGCTTCTCATTTGGGTTTGATTCGACGGTCTGTTTGGTGCGGAATGTCACTTAAATGTCTCAGCAGCGTATATCTGATTCACTTCTATTTTGGTCTACATATCTCTGGTATAGTAGATGTATAAGTGGTTCATTGTGAGAGTTTCAGGTTGCTGCATATCTTTTTTGACCACCTGACCACTGTTATTATTATTTAGTTCAACATAATGATAAAGTGTGATTAAAGTTTTTCGTCATTTTCGAACAAAAGCAACTAATTAACTCTTCATATCTCATGCTAACTGACGGATTTTTGACATAAAACTCTGCATGTAAAGGCACCACTTCAAGTTGTCACGCTCCATGTAGCACGCAAAAGTATAGAAACGAGTGGAGAGATTGAAAATAACTACGACCAGGAATGCGAGGGAGAAAGAATACTAACATGGAAAAACATAATGGCCTAATGGATATGGAAGAGCACCTAGGGCAAATGTATTTTCACCATTGAGAAGAAATTTGAGCCACATCAGCCATAGTCTCCAGCTTCTGGTTCTTGGCATTCCAACGACCCCGTCCAGTCGGTGTGCACCTCCATTCGTTGCCCAGACCAACTGTCAAACACTTTGTGGGTTGATACCACGTTTTGGTCTGATCGCCTTTAACTCTTTTCCAATCCATCCCTATGCCAGTTAACATTGTTCGTCGAGGAAGACGGTTGCTTGGCATGTTGCGCATGTGTCGTAGTCGACGTAGCTTAACAACTGCATCGCTTAACTTACCCTCCTTACTCACCAACGCTCTACACATAACTTCAAAATTGCTTATTTTATTGGACGGCTTAACACGTGAGATAGGACGGAAACATATATGCCCATGTCCCAGAATCTGTGGAAGGTTGAAACTATGGTCAATATACCCAATGTCACCCTTAAATGCTAACTGGTTTCCCTGGGTTTGTTTCTCTCAAACACCATTTAGCGTGTACATTATTGTTGAACCTGAAATTTTGAATAGTATATTAATCAAAGGAAGACTTGTTTCCCTTCTTATAAACTTGGATAATCATTGATTTACACAAGCCTAGCTGAGCTATCTCTGATTCCAAGACGCTATCTAGCTAGTCCTCGGGACGGTAAAAATCTATGGTTGGAAACAATTGGTGACATGGCTCAAAATCGTTCACAGTGGTGCAGATGCATCCACTCCTTGTGACTTATGATCTCCAATGAAACTGTTTTGTTTTTCTTTATTACTCCTTTGTCTCACACCTCTGCTCACTGTTTCTATTATGCTTTTCTTGTACTTTCTTCTCTTGCTTCGCGTGCTACACGGAGTGTGGCGACTTGAACTGGTGCACATATGGGCAAAGTTCTATGTCGAAAACAGACAGACAAATCTTCTCTATTATTTCAAAATGCACTTAATCTAATATTAAAATATTGAATTTTATATGAGTGATCTGAGTGAGTTAATGAATGTACATACTGCTGTAATATCTTTGTTATCATTTGCCTTTTCTGTTTTGCATAGGCATAGTGCAATGAAAAAAGATAAAGGTTTGCATACAGCATTCCATATTCGTAGAAAAATTGAAGAACAAGTAAAACAAATTCGTAATGCATCTCTTGAACGGAAAAAAGCAAAAGATGAATTAAAGAGGGCTAAACGTTTAAAAGAAGAAGAAAAACGGAAGAGGAAGTTGGAAAATGAACGTCGGTCAGAAATTGTTGTTCCGGTTAGTATTTGTTGTTTTGTTCCGTAAGCTTACCATAATCAATTAATTTTAGGTTAGTAATCCAGCGAAAATCAAACGTATGCGAAAGAAACAATTAAGAATGATTACAACTCGATAAAATGCAACTCTGATGTATAATAATAATAAATATTCAAATTTGATACTTCTGTTTATTGAACTTCCTTTTCCAGTCGTTAAGACATGGCTTACTGCCTCAACCACTTGACTTTTAGCCAGTTAGCTAAGAGTTCAAGTCCTGCTTCGCCTACTTAAACCTTGATGGCAACTGGGTAGAATTATCAACCTCCAAACAATGAGTGTCTCATATCCGAGTACATGAAAAAATGTGTTTTAGGCAATTGAGTCGCTCTTTAAAAGCACAATGACCCAATAAACCACCTGATGCGGCCAACAAGGGGCGTGGGGAAGAATAGACTTCGGTTTGCCTCTTGAAATGCTATTATGCGGCCTCGTGTGCGTCCATATCCTCGACCAGGTAAGTCCTAGGCGAGGACACTGATAAATTGTAGAGTCTTCTGAACACCTTCAGCTGCAACCTACGAATGTTTGACATGCCATTCGCCCCCACCAAATGTAAGATGGTGTTACAGGACTGAACTACACCGACCCCTGGTTTAGAAACAGGGAGTGAAGTGGTAAAGCACATTGATCACTTCTCTTATTTGGGAAGTACCATCAGCCAACGCCAACGGATTGACCGCTGACGAAATCTCAACAGGGATATAGAGGGCTAGTTTCGCATATGCTAGTTTACACCGTCTCTGGCGTAGATGTGATATCCGACTATCGACCAAAGGGCGTATGTACTGCTCATCAGTCCGCTCCGTCCTCCTTTATGGCTGTGAGACCTGGCCATTTAGAGTGGAAGACATGAACAGCCTGAATGGCTGTCTTCGATCATAGGTGCCTGCGTTCTATCTCCCGAGTGATGTGGTATAATAAGGTGAGCAATATTGATGTTAGGCATCGGTCGAGTGCTAGGTAAGGAGGGCAAGTCAGTCGGCGGGGTTGTGAAGCTACATCGACTGAGATGGTTAGGACATGTGTTACGTATGCCTAGTCATCGCCTTCCTCGACGAGCTATGTTAGCTGATATAGGGGCAGGCTGAAAAAGAGCTAGTGACAGTCAAACCAAAACGTGTCACCAGTCAATGAAATCTACAACAGTTAGTCTAAGCCACTTAGGAAGGTGTAGACTTCCTGGTTGGGGTCCTCGGGACTGTAAAAACCAATGGCGGTTGGAGACAATTGCTGATATGGCTCAAAATCGTTCTCAATGACAGCGCAGATGCATCCACTCCTTGTGACTTATGATTTCCAATGAAACTATATTGTTCTTCGTTATTACTATTTCTTTGCCTCTCACCTCTGTTTACTGTCTCTATTATGCATTTCTTCTAGTTTCTTCTGTTGCTTTGTGTGCTACACGGAGTGTGGCGACTTGAACTGGTGCACATTTGTGCAAAGTTCTATGTCGAAAACAGACAGACAGTAATTGTTTCTGTTTGTATTATTATTTTCAAACGAATGGTTACTGAACAAAGAATACTCTTTTCAATAGCTTCATCATCAAGTTCTACAGTTATATATGCATAATAGTGAATGAAGTAGCGTTATTAACAACATTAATATTGTTTAAATGACATCGAATCAATAATAATAATAATGCGAACAAGTGTATAACCAGTCGATAAATATTAGCATCCCAACGGAAGTCCTAAAGGAATTGTTATTAAGGCGCACTGTGAGTGTAAATTTCACATTTGATGGCACGCTTTACAGACAAGTGGATGGGGTGGTGATGGGCTCACCATTGAGTCCCATTTTGGTTAATTTATTTCTACGTAAACTAAAAAAAATGGACCTGTGAACAACCTTATCAGAAAGTTCTCATTTTATTTCCGATTTATGGATGATACCTTCATTCTTTGTGATAATGATTTGAACAGGATCACAATAATAACTGAATTCAATGAAGTACATTCTGCTATGAAATCTACGTGCGAAGTGGAACTGCAAAACAGAATTGCCTTCCTTAACGTCCTCCTTACAAGAAAGCCAGATGGTAGCATGAAAAGAAATTTGCATAGAAAAAGTACATGGATAGAACAATATACACATCTTCACAGCTTCGTTCCTCTCAAGTACAAAAGAAATTTAGTGAAGACCCTCAGCCACACGGGGTTAGAGCTATATGCTCAGAATGAGTAATTGAAGATAAACTAAGCATTGTATGTGATACCTTGATTGAAAATAGCTATCCCGACAAATTTATCATGAAACACATGAAAAACAAAGCTGAAAAGGACTAATCACTATCTGTAAACAAGAAGCCGTTATACATACGACTGCAATTCAAGGGCAATATACCTAGCGAAATAACTGCGAAAAAGTTAAGGAAATCAGTTCAAAGAACTTTTAATGCTGTCAAACTAAAATTTGTGTTTCCTACATGACCGAACCAATCAGGAACCGATAGTGAAACAAATAGGCAGAAAGAAATGGAGATGGATTGGCCATACTCTGGGGAAACCATCAAGTGACATCACTAGACAAGCCCTCGAGTGGAACCCGAAAGGGAGGCGGCGAGTTTGTCGTCCAAGGGTGACTTGGAGGAGGTCATGCGAGGAGGAGATGAAAGCATGTGGACAGACCTGGAGCGGGGTGAAAAAGTTGTCAGAAAACCGAAGGCAATGGAGGTGCGTAGCCGAAGCCCTATGTTCCTCTAGGAACTAAAGGATACAATAATAATAATACATGACCGATGGTGATTCCTCAATCGAAGCATGAAATACTTAGACTAGCCACTTCAAATTGTATCTACCAATTCAACTGCGCTTGTGGTGGAGCGAGTTATATTGGCCGTTGCTCCATAAACTTGATTTTTCATGATCGAGAACACTTCCCAGTGTGGCTAAGTAAAGGTGTAGTAAAAAACACCAACAGTTCGACATTAGACCATCTGGTCCAAACCGACCACAAAAGCAGCATTGAAGAATCCCTTTCTATCGCCTACCGAGTACCAAATAAATTTCCAAAAACATGGAAGTACCGCATGCTCCAAACAGCAGAGGCTATTGTGATTCGCGTGAAACAACCATTGGTCTATGCGCAAAAGAAACAGGTCCATCCACTACTACTGCCCTAGTCGGTCTTCATGAATTTGCATTATCTTTCCTAATTTGTCTGACATTGAGTGTGTAGTGTTATGTTGATGCTATTGAACTGTAATCTATTGATATTATTGATTCGATGTTAATTAAACAACATTCATACTGTTAGTAACACTAATTCATTCACTATAATGTATATATAACAGTAGAGCCTGACGATGAAGTTATCGAAAAGAGTATTCTTTGTTCAGTAACCATTATTTTGGGAATTTCGATGGGCATTTCTAATCAGTTATATTATTATCGTTATTGAAACATAAACTCTATACTTTTTAGCTACCAAGAGATGTGCCACAAAAATATTCTCTTATTTTGTGCGAGGGGTGGAATACTGCTCAGGTGTGCCGGCCAAAGCAGAGAGTTTTCCTAAGAGACCACGTCTCTGTGGCGCTTTTGATTTGTAGTCCGATGCATAATGTAATAGAGCAGCGTTAGGAGCTGTGTTCCGATGGCTACCAGTAACGAAAACAGGTTCATGCGTCATTTAATCCTTCCGGATTCTGGAGCACATGTAGGCCGCTGTTTTAGGATAAAGGTTATCCGTCAGTCTTGTGTTTATAGATGCTAGACGTTCTCATTCACCCTTACACTTTCGTCTCCATGTGGACTATTAGCGTTCAAGTCTTCCACCAAAACAAAGTAATTGGTTGCATTCGGTTTGGTTTTGTGTGTAGGGTGAGTAAATACAATGTGTACCTGACTGACAGAATTCAGTCTACGCCAACACAAAGGACAAGACGCATGATACTACTACTTGCTAACTAGTATCCAGTGAAAGTATCCGTTAAAGTCCTACAGGGAGGTCAATGGCGGCGCCAAATGATACAGTAGTAACGTATCTGACTGCAGCACTATGTGACCTGACTGGGAATCGCAGGAGGAACATGAGTTCCTTCAAGCCTTCAGACACGCCTTGCTGACTGGTGAGGGCCAAGAAGCTCGAAACCTAGGTCCAAGTCTACCTGCAGATTGCCTCCAACCATGTAATAATAATAGTAATAATGATAATAATTATAATACCGTTGAACTGTTTAAAAGTCTTATTCATATCAACCTTTCCTTGTTGGCATTTGATACCACGATAATATTCTGGTAGTCTTCAAGTTGTAACAAATGAATGTTGACATTCTCTTACCTCTAGGAGAATTCTATTTGCAAAGTTTTGACTTCTTTTTCATATCGGGATTTACTAACATACTACTTAATTCATATTTTCAGTAATATGTGTATGAATATGTTTAATGGTTAGACGGAAAAGACATCAATGCCGGAGTCATTTGCAAAACAAATATTCTGAGAACTTCTACGATAGGTATTTAATAACCATTTTCTCTATTTAAGATAAAGTCCAGTTGAGTTTGCATTTTGAAAACTGTTAATACATTAAGATTTGTCTACTGAGCACATGTCTTATTGGTATTTATTGTGATATGTATGAGTTACAGGTTCGGTCACGAGTTGACATTTGTTAGGGAATCCCTGGAAAACCAGAGAGTAGTGAACAGCTGTTTCGCTTCACTGTGAGACTCTTCATTAGTATGCACCCACCGGGGTTTGAACCCAAAACCTTCAGGTTAATAAGCGGGCGTGTAGACATTTCAGCCAATGAGACAATACCCGATGGCTCATGAATCACTTCTACTAGTTCACGATGGATTGTAGGGGTCCAGTTGATTTCACTCGTAATCACGAAGTAACTTCATCTGAGGAATCATTCAGAAACAGGTAGTACTCGACAGATATCTCCTCCAGATCTGGAACTCTTCTACATCACGGAAGCATGATCCCACTTCTGATCGCATCTTCATGTTAGGAGGCCAGCCAGCCCGCCTCGAACTAGGAAGAAAGACCTGTCCAGTACACTCTAGTTGAAGTCAGCTCACCAAGTCCCTTGGAATCGATCAAGTTCCTACAAACCGACACTTGTGCAATGATTCTTACGCTCAATAGTGAACACCCATAGGATGACTTCTCTGAAAGTTCTACTGAGAAGCCGTGACCATTCGGGTTCATCGAGTCGGGTGCTGGTAGAAATACTCAGTGATGATATTGATTGGTGGTGAATCTATATATTGTGAACTGGCAGAAGTTAGAGTTCA